AAAAAAAAAAAAAAAAAAAAAAAAAATCAATGTTGGTAGAATAGCCAATGCAATTATTTTCACAACTCTGAAATGTCCTGCAATAATCATTTTTTTTTTGAGAACTTGGCTTTGAAAACAGGTTCTTCTCACTGAGTTACATCCCCAGCCCTTTTAAAAAAACTTTTTCATAGTACTGCTGAGTCAAAAATTACCCAGGCTAGGCTTGAACCTGTAACTCTCCTGCTCAGCCACCCAGAAAGCTGGACTTACAGGTGTGCAGCACCATCCCTAGCTCCTCCAATAATTTATTTAGACTTAAAATGGTAACACTTGGTAGAACAAGATTACCGCAGCTTTGGAAAAGCCACAATCAAATGAATTAGAGATGAAAACACTTCCAATGTAGCTCACCTGCCAAAAATGGTTGTGACCCAGACATACTGATCCTCACTCAGACCAACAGTTACCACAGTTTTTATAGGCCAGGTAACTCAGCAGTCACTGACAGAGGCACAGGTTACCAAATAATGAACAACTGTGATGGTGTCAAATGCCTAAACCTCAAACAGTTTGTGGATGTTCAAACAGAAACATCGCATCAAAAACATGAAAAGTTTTGAACTATGCATTTGTCGGATATAAAAGGTTCCAAGGGGGCAGGGATTTAGCTCAGTGGATCCACCACCTGCCTCGAAAGTGCAAGGACCCGAGTTCGATCCCCAGTACCAAAAAACAAAATAAAAGATTCCAAATTATATTTGCAATATTCTAGTTCAAACTTACGTAAATATTTCTGATTGTGAGCTAGGGATTCACTAAATCCAAAGTAGTTTTCTTCATTACTTCTTCAACTGTTCTGTTTCCTGACTTCACTATTCTGAAATCCAAAAGCCATCCAGAAACGCAACAGGAAATCTGAATTCTAACTTCAATATTCGGTTTTATCCTCCCTTTGAAATGGTCCTTTTGTATACAGCAAGAAAAAACAGCTTCCAACCAGTGGAATCCTCTCAGGAAGACTCTTCTCATCACTGAACAAGATAAACTCAGCATTTCAAAGTTGAGTGTAACCAGGCCACTTTTCTACACACAGCATATTAAGCCATGAAATTCCTAAAAAGGCTTGGAGAGGTTTCAAAGAAATATTTGAGAACATCTGCAAAAAACAACTATGACAACCATACAAATAAATGAATACACCAGTTCCATTCAAGTTATGAAGATATTTTCCTTTAATTTATCCAAACATTTCATATTCATGAAGTCATTTATTTTAGAGCAAATCTAAGCTTATAATTTAAATTTAAAATGTTACAATATTCACAAGACAGCTGACAGGGAGAACTTGCTGGTATAAAAATACTGTAATTGTACTTTTCTCTTCGACATCTGCCAGGGAAAATGGCAGAGTACAGTTACCTCTGAAGATCCTGGCTAACTATGGAGAACAACGAGAAGCCCTAACGGGGAATGTGCCTTATCCTTACTGTGCCACATCTACAGCTTTAGACCTTCAACGTTCTTCTTCAAGTTCAGCAGCTCCTTTTCCTGTCTTCTCTTCTCCAGCTTGAATGCTAATTTGTTAGCTTTCTTCTCCACTCTTCGTTCCTGTACAAAGGGTCTGTAAGTTATTCACGTCCTAAACATGATACTTTTTTTTTTTTTTTTTTTGGTTCTTTGAGACAGGGTCTCACTATGTAGTTGAGGCTGACCTGGAACTCACTATGTAGCCCAGTCTGGTCTCCAACTCACAGCGATCCTCCTGCCTTAACCTCCCAAGTGCTCTGATCACAGGCATGCGCCACCACACCCAGCTGATACAGACTACTTTGATGGAAAAGAAAATTCCTCAACTTCCCCTCCACCAACTCTTTGTAAACTTGGGAACTATTTCACCTTGCGCTCCTCTTTTATAGCTTGCTTTCTTGCTCTTTTATCTTCTTTGCTTTCATGTTTAGAGCGTGGTTGGGTTGATACCCTAGGCAGATCACTGCCATTAATCATCTGCATTCGTTCAACTTGCTTTGCTGTGAGTCCTTTCTGAGGTAAGACACTGAGAGGTATTCCTGTCTTAGTAGATATGTGAATTTGTTTGGGCTGAAATAAAGACAAGACAGAACTACAGTCATTTACTATTCCCACTAAATGTAGCTCACTCATGACACTGATGGTGCTTCGCCACAAAGGGTTAAAATTGCTGTGAGAAGATATGCACACTCCATTCCCTGCATTAGGTATTTCAAAAACCTCAGGACACTCAAGACTTACCTTTGGTTGATACTTGATAAGCTGTGGATGATTGTATAAATTTGAGTATGTACCTTAAAAAGAAATCATGTATCAGCAAGTACACTTCCAGTTCAGCAAAACATTACTACATTCCTATTATACTCCTGACCTTGGTGCAGAAAAACACTGGAGTCTCTCCTACAAATTGTTTTAAAACTGTTTATAACTCAGTAATGGGAATATTACTCTTTACAAATTGCCTAAAAGCTTAACTTCTACTAAAATATATGCACTTTTCAAAACTGATGTACTTAACACTGTAAAATTACTACCATAATTTTAGCAGAAGACACTAAGACACTTACTGCAAATGGATTCACAATCCCACTTCTCTTTGGTTTCTTCAACAACTACAGTAATAATCTCTTCTTCAGACTCATCAAGCTCATTCAATGGCAGGTCTTGATCCTCAAAGGGTTCAAGAGTATTCAGCTTTACACAACTTTGGGTTGAATTTTTTAAAACAAAGAGGAAAAACTACACTCATTATTATTGTTACTGAAAGTGCTATGAAAACAGCAACTTTTAAAATCCACACACTCCTGTGAATTCCTGTCACATCTGGCCAAACCCTTCTCTGCCTCTTCCCCCCCGCTGTTTACTCCCCCCCACCTGCTGCATTAACTTTGCTAACAGGTAAGGGATCTGCCTCTTTGAAATGTTAGAAAGAGGTACACATCAAGAAGGTGGCTTCCCTATGACAGGCTTTTCTTAAAACTTAGAAAAGAACTAGTCTGTCCATGTTTTCAACATATTTACAAACTTCGAACTATGTAACCCCTTTTCCTGCTGTAGGATCGGCATATGTTACAATGATCACGGAACTAGGGCCTTTCTACCAGATTTAAACACCTCTCCAGTTTCTCCCAGAGAAGTCAACTTGATGCAGATGTTGATTTGCTGATAGTAATATGCTGGTCAGTTCTGCTAATCCAATTGAAGAGAAAAATTCTTATTTCTCTATGCCACAACTATTCATTTCTAAGAACTCCTAGAATTTCAGAAAGAAGAAAAAAATGGATACTTGTATGTCACAATAATTTCTTAGCCAAAGACACTAGAAGCACCATCCTATTCTCCAACTGGAGTAGCTTCATACTTCCCACTGACCCAGTTATCCTACCTCGACTCTTCTCAAGTCAGTGGGACTAAGAAAGTAGTTCCCTGTATTTTGTTAGCATCACTATTTAGCTTCAGAACTCAACTCTAAATGCAGGAAAAACATGAACAATATATCAGGCAAAACGTATAGAATATGTATGTTTTCCTTGATGATGGATTCTGATTAGGTGGATCTTTCCCCCACAATTTAGCTGTAGAAGTACAGATCCTAATTGGAGATGGAATAAAAGCAGATAAACAAGAAAAAAAGCCACATTACTTCTCGGCCTTCTCTTTATGGTAGTCATTCAAAACTTCCTGTAAACGGTTGCTGTCTACCTGAATGGAACCTTCCAATTCAGCATTATCCAGAGCTCCAATCTCAACATCATCATACTGTTCATAAAACTGGAACATAAACAGAAAATGGATACCATGAAAAATAAATGTACTCATTAACTACAGTAGTTACATGCTATTTTTAACCTATATAATTTTTAAGCCCTATCCTAAGATCACAGCTAATGGTAATTTTATGAAAGTATTAGTAGAGACAACAGGACTAATTCCTGCCAGACTCACATGTAGACTGGAGATAGGCTAACTTTTAACATGGATAGGGAAAAGTTATCTAGTTAGCTTAGATAAAAAAATACTTGACAGAAACCTTTTTCTCCAGATATTCAAAAAATATTTTGAAATTCCTTGGTTATGCAGACTACAAGGTCATGTAAATGAACACAGTCTCCTATTAATGTATACATTTCATGTTTGTTTAGATGGTATTCACGGTGTTATCAAATGCTATTAGCACTGGTAGGTGCTGTCACGGAATACTCAAGTGGTGATCTATTTCCTGATTAGTGAAGAGTTATCATCTGGCTGCTCTTAAAAGAGAAGGAAACTAATACTTCCTGAAGATGCAGCTAAGTTGGAACCTGTATTTTCGGTTCCTCTTGAAGGAAACCGTTCTTTCCTTCCATCATTTACTGAACAGTGTGAACTCCTACTATGGGCCAGACACCCCTTTAGGGCTTGCACACAAGCACATCTGCCCTTGGGGAACTTTCATTCTAATCTGAAACAAATCTATACACAACATACATCATAAACGCATCAGAAACCCATAAACAACACACATAATAAACACGTCCAAGGTGACGGCAGGGTGAGAGCCCCTGGGCAGCGCAGGTGGGACTGAGCTTGTGTAACATACAGTCCATGGGACGGAGCTGTCAGCCCCGGAGCTGCTTTGTCAGATCAAGTCCAGTACACTACAGCTCAGGCCTTTACGGTATCTGGTATTCTACTTCCTTTGTGTTCTTAAGTGTTGCTTTGTCTGTAAAGTCCACATATAAGAAACAAAGAAATGCAATTTCATTTATGCTCAGGCCAATGCATTAGGAAAACAGCAAAAATTCACAAAATGTCAATACTGAGTCAGAATGTTTTAATCAACCAATGTTTTGGGACTATACTATTCCTTCCAGGATTAAACTATAGTGGCTTTATGTTTTAACTAAAAAAAAAAAAAAAAAAAAAAAGAGCTATTTTGCTCCCGATAGTTTTAGCGTTTGGTTCCAATTCTGCTCTTTTCCAACCATGACATTTACTAGGAGACAGTACTGAAATGTCATTTTGGGGGACCTTACCTTCTCAAATCTCTCATCGTGTAGAGTCAGCTGCTCATTTCTCCTCATGACTGAGGAAGTCATAGAATACTCTGTGAAGCGACTTTTTGTTTCCTCCTCCCAGAACAAATGCTTTTCTATGGCCCCACGAGGTTCTCCAAGGGGAAACGGCGCATCTTCCTCTGACCATGGGCCCAGAGAGTCACAGTCACCCTCATCGACACTGCCTCTTCCGGTCTCCTCATCCACATCTTCCCACTCACTGCCATCTTCACTCTCAGGTTTCCTACAGTCAGAGAGTCATCACCTGTCAAAACAACTTCAAAAAACAACGAAACAAGGAAACTTTACCACATAAAACCAAAGGGCATGTGGGAAAGGTTCTTGTGTAGGGAGAAGCAGAGATGGTGCTTGACCAATCTGCAGGGTAAGAAAAACAAGGGGTAAACAAGATTCTCAGACTTCACCTGCACCTATCAGTAGCTGGCAAAGACCTGGAGTCTCAGGTTAAGTGCTCTTGCAGGTCTCTTCCGAACTTTAATGTGGTTACCCTCCTACTGAAGAAGCAAGGCAGGTCAGCTTTGCTTTGGAACAAACCACACGTACAGAATTTCCACTCCCTCTTCCTCTTCTGCTGGCTTATTGGCCTGAAGGATAAAGTCATCTTCAAGCACATTATCTGGATCATCGAAGTCAAAATCATCATCAAGAGCTGCAACAATGTCAGGATCAAAATCCAGTCGAGGTCCTAGAAAAAAAAAAAAATTGAGCAAGAATTCCCCAAAAAGTACAATTTACTTAATCCAAATACTGATGACATGCTAGATGCCAGTTAGGTGGCAAGGATAAAATAGTCTAGTTAGAAACAGATAAAGATGGAAGGAAAAAATTCCTCTTAATTTTCATTGACTCTTCCACTGCACATGTAGAATATTCAACTCTGCATTTAGCAAACCTCAAAGCTCTCACCTGCAGAAAGAAACTGGTTAAATTTTACCTGTTAGAACCAATTCACAGTAAGAATCTACAGACTATTATATTTTGTTTTTTCAGTACTATAAAATCTAACAAAATCCAATTGATTTCTTCAGCTATCTTCTTCCATCTGTAAAAATACTAGATTTCAGGAACATATTCCAAGTTCAAATTTTTAATCAGATACACCTTCCAATACCATATGCTACATGACCACTGCTTAACTCTCCAGACACATTTCTTATCTCTCAACCTTCCTCTGCATGCTAATGTGTACTCAGCTTCACATGCTCACGTTCGCTAGATTTTGTACAAAGTCTTCTGTCTGGAACATCTTCTCACTCCCAGCTCTCCTTCCTTCCACGTAAGAAATCAACTGGGGGCTGGGGATGTAACTCAGTAGTTAAGCACTTGCCTAGTGTGTGATAGACTCTGGTTCCATACCCAGCACAAATCAAAACAAAACAGAAATCAACTTAGTATCTTCTAGGAAGCCTTGTCCAACTCCGTAAGGCTAGGTCTGGTACCTCTCACCCACCAATGTTAATACTTTTATACTGAAATTTTAACTCTCATTTATTACCTTTGTAACTCACAGAAATTCCTTGTGGTCTGGAACTGTGTTTTATTCTGGTTTAACACAAGACATTATCACACTGGCTACTCAAAAATCTGTAGAATAAATACTACTGGGCAAGTGTTAGCCAACAATTAGGCCACTTAGGAGAAAATACCATACACTAATTCTGAGGATTTTTGTGTTTGTTCTAACCTACAATGTTGGTACTCAACAGTTTTTAAAAACTCACTTTTTCAGAGTATCTTACATAGATGGTAGAATGGACTTCCATAGAATATGTATTTATGGTCTTGGGAGAAATTTTAAAGACAAAAAGATTACTGTTCAAAATTACACTATCTGCGACAAATGGTGAATATCACCATTATCTTTTTAAGAAGTTAAAAGTGAATGTTAAAATTTTCCTACAGACAAATGTAGCTTTCCCCCACACACAATCTCTAAAGACCTAAGAATGTGAAGACATACTTTAAAAGAACCACACTCATTCCCTCCTCATGAATTTTAACTTGAATTTTGGACATCTAAATTGTTTCAGTCCTTTATTAGGTACAGACACTAAACCCACCTGAAACTGGAGCTGCTTTATTTAACAATCCAACATCTTCCTCAAACTCTGATGCAAACACTGATGAAGGCAACTTAATTCCAGTGCTCTTGAAAAGAAATCACAAAACTGTTAGACTTATTTACAAAATACTTCTCACCTACTCTACTGGGTTGAAAAGTGTCCCCTCAAAATTCACGTCCACCCAGCTCCTCAGACAATGACTGTATGTAAAATAACACTGGCTACAACTTGTCCCCTCTGAAACGCTTCTTAAAATTTACTCTAAAAGATACTAAGGGATGAAACCAGCTACGCCAAAGGACAACTAGGCTGTGCCCTAATGAACGGATTAACAGGTCATCTTGAGAGTGATTTTGCTATAAAAGCCACTTTTGCTAGGTCTCTCATTTGGCTCTGTGACACCATGTGCTACCTTTGGTCTCTACCAGCGGTAAGACCATCACCAGATGTGGCCCCTCAACCTTGGATGTGAGCAAAAATAAGTCTCTTTTCCTTGCTACTTACGCAAGGCCATGGTGGAGTTATTATCAGCAACAAAAATGCACTAAGTCCTTGTAGACATAACAGGCTAAGACGAGGCTGCACCGGATTAGGATGTACCCTAATAAAAAGGCTACAAGACACAGACCCAGCAGGGAAAACAATCTGCGACGAAGGAGTAAACTGGAGTGACACACCCTTGAGCCAAGGCAATCTGAGGACGGACGCCCAGCAGGCCCCTGACCTGGGAGCCATGCAGCTGACCAAGCCTCTACGAGCCCAAGAAGGAACAGGCCCTATGAATATATTCACTTCAGATAACTTTCTGGCCTCCAGAATGGTGAGAAAATTCTTTTGAATTACCCACTACCCTGGGAAACTGTGACAACTGCATTGTGCAATCTCTTACCCAAGTGCCAGTTACCCATTCTGTATCCCGGCACCACCCCCAAGCTACTGCCCTACAATTCCCAGCACCACCTAAAACACTCTTCCATGTAACCCTAAGCCCTGAGGACCAGAAGGTTTCAGGGAAAGAACAGAAAAAAAGGCTGAACAGTACATCTGCCCGAGTCAGGTCACTGAGAAGTTCCACTTTCAAATCCAGGTCTTTTAAGTCCACTGCCCTGAAGTTTCAAAACAAAATTAATCTTTTCCTCTTAAACTGGTGATAATGCCCTAATCACTTTTCCACCCTTCTCTGAATCAGCTGTCTTAAATCCTACAGTAGTCACAAATCATCCCTATCCATTATGTCCCTCTGAGCTCTTGCAGAATTTCCTCCCTCCCTTGGGCACTGTCTTACTTACGGTTACCCAAGTTAGATCACCACAGTAGTTGCTGCACTGGTCCACACCTAATCTAACCATGGTACCTCTGCCAGATTAAACTCCCCAAATACTTCCGTCACGCAACATTCCGGAACTTAAAATAGGTCCTGGTTTTTCAAGGCCCGGTAAAATCAAGAACTACTCCAAGTATCAAAATCTCTCACTTTTACTTAGTAAGATGACTACAGTAATCAAGTCCAGAGCCCGCCTGTCATGTAAGATTCAAAACAATTTAGTGAACATTCACATGCCAACCATTGACTCCCACAATACTACTGCACTTCTCAGCTTCCTGACTGAAATATTCCTCACGCTCTCTTTAGCAGTACCCACAGCACTCACAGAAGACGCCTTCAAGGACAGCTTTGGAAAGTGGTGAGAATGATGTGATAAGTGTGTCCCAAGCAAGGGAAGTATTTTGAAGGACATTAACGGCAATATCTTTTACTACAACAAAGTTTTACTTAAAAACACAATATTTTTGTATAATTTACCCATTTAACATGTTCAAGTTAATGTTTTTTTGCTTCTGTTTTTGGGGTATTCCATTAGTAACTCTTTAAAATGGTGGTAAACAGGCCGGGCGTGGTGGTGCACCCTGTAATCCCAGCACTCGGGAGGCTGAGGCAGGAGAATTGCTGTGAGTTCGAGACCAGCCTGGGCTACACAGTGAATTCCAGGTCAGTCTCAACTACATGGTAAGACCCTGTTTCAAAAAAAAAAAAAAAAAAAAAACAACAACAACAATAAAACTGTGTTAAACATAGGCCAGGGATTTAGCTCAGTGGCACCGTGCCTGCTTTATAAGCACAAGATCCTGAATTCAATCCCCAGTATCACACCCCCCAAACCACCCAAAACAACAAAACCTGTGGTAAACTCACATCACGTGTCTTAAAGGAGTAGCACATATATTTTCTATTTTCCTGTATCTTTATGCTGTAATGCCTGAATATCATGCGATAAACTGCCTGAAGATGACACTGAAGCTTAGTCATGGACAACTCAACTCACACTACAGACTCTTATTTACATTATGTTTACTGTCTGGGTCAATATAGTCCTGAAAACACTAGCCAGAAGAATTAGACAAGAGAAAGAAGTAAAAGGTAAGGCGGAAAGGAAAAAGTGACATGCTATATAGAAGACCCCAAAAACTCCATCAAAAAACTCAAGATTTGATAAACAAATTCAGTGGTGTAGCTGGATACAAAGTCAACACTCAAAAATCAATAGCCTTCCTGTACACGAATAACAGACTCACAGAAAGAGAAATTAGGGAAACAATTCCTTTCATAATAGCATCCAAAAAGATGAAGTACCTAGGACTCAATCTAACAAAGGAAGTAAATGACTTCTACATTGAAAACTACACTATTCTGAAAAAGGAGATTCAAGAGGATATCAGAAAATGGAAAGATACCCCTTATTCTTGGGTAAGAAGAATCAATATACTGAAAAATGGCCACACAACCAAAATTGTTACACAGATTCAAAGCAATCTCAATCAAAATCCCAATGGCACATCTCCCAGAATTAGAAAAAACAATCTTAAAATTCATTTGAAACCAGAAGAAATCTAGCATAGCAAAGGCACTTCTGGGCAACAAAGGCAAAGCAGGGAGAATCACAATCCCTGACTTTAAATTATATACAAAGCTACAGTGATAAAAACAGCATGGTACTGACAAAAGAACAGACCTGAAGATTAATAGAACAGACTAGAGAATGCAAAAACAACTCCAGACATACTCAACCACCTTATCTTTGACAAAGGAGCCAAACACCATCACTGGAAGAAAGATACCCTCTTTAATAAACGGTGCTAGAAAAACTGGCTTTCCATGTACCAAAGACTGAAACTAGGCACCTATCTTTCACCATGCACTAACCTAAAATCAAATGGATCAAAGATCTAAATATTAAAACAAAAACACTAAATCTACTGGAAGAGAGAAGAGGCAGAACGCTTGAGGACACAGGAGTGACAAAGGCTTCATGAACAAGGAAATACTACAAAAAACAACCAACAACTGGGACCTCATCTTATTAAAAAGCTTTTTGTGCTGGGGATTTAGCTCAGTGGTTCCACCTGCTTCACAAGTTCAAGGTCCCGAGTTTGATTCCTGGTACAAAAAAAAAAAAAAAAAAAAAAAAAAAAAAAAAAAAAGCTTTTGCAGTGCCAGGGATTTAGCTCAGTGGTGCCAGCATCTGCCTTGCAACCACAGGGTCCTGAGTTTGGTCCCCTGTACCTGTTTATACAAACAAACAAAAAAAGCTTTTGCACAGCAAGAGAAACCACCAATAGTGAAGAGACAATTCAGTTTTTCACCAGCTATTCAGATAAAGGACTATTGTCTAGAATATATAAGGAAGCTAACCCCCTGCCCATTTAAAGACCCATTGCAAAAATGGGTTATCCGGGGCCAGGGATTTAGCTCAATGGTTCCATCGCCTGCCTCACAAGTGCAAGGTCTTGAGTTTGATCCCCAGTACAAAAAAAAAAAAAAAAAAAAAAAAAGGCGTTTCTGAAGAGACACTTCCCAGATGAAGAATTAGAAATGTCAAACAAATGTACGGAAAAATGTTCAACATTACTGGTCATTCATGAAATGCAAATTAAAACAACTCTGAGATTCCATCTCATTCTGGAAAGAATGGCTGCTACCAAGAAATGAACCAATAACAAATGCTGGAGGAGCTGTGGGGGAAAAAGGAACTTCTCCACTGTTGGTGAAAATGTAGACTAGTGCAACCACCGTGCAAATCAGTGTGGAGATTTCTCAAGTAACTAAAACTAGAGGTTTTACTTTGCCCAGCTATGCCTTTTCTTGGTATGGTCCCAAAAGAATTAAAAGCGTCATGCCATAGCGATCTATGAACACCCATGTTTATAGCAGCAGCAGTTTTTTGTAGCTAAATCTTGGAAACAGCCCAAATGCCCATCAACTGACGAGTGGATAAAGATGTGGTTTTTGTTTTACCACCATGGAGTACTACTCTGCCATAAAGAAGGATGAGCTTCAGACATTTATAGCTAAATGGATGGACCTTGAGACCATGCTCTTAAGTGAAATAAATGGGAGACACATGTTTAAATACCTCACTGTTTCCCTGGTGTGATAAACCAAAGTGGAAATAAGGACTGAGTATAGTGGATGTTGGGAAATGGGAGGAAAAGTGTTCAAATGGGAAGGGGAACAAGGGAAGAGGGAGGAAGAAAGGGACAAGAAAAACAGTGAAAACAGAAGGAAAAATGGAAAAGAAGTTTTTGTACATAAGGAAGGGAGGGGGCTTAAGGGGGGAATGGGATAAAATAACATTTATTAAAAAATAAATAAAGCAAGTCTGGATTAGGATTTTCTGTGACACACAGCCAAAGGCACTGCTATATCACATCCAAATAAATAAAACCTGATATATAAAGTTATAATAAAAGAAATGTAGTCTTTCAGCTTTTTAAATAACCACTCTTTGTGATCACCTTTACAATTCTATGGGGAGGAGCCAGCTTGTATTTATTAAATTTACCTGTAGTTTTTTTCCCCAATCTTTTGAAAGCTAGTCAAAAAAACTGTACACGTGGTAACAGTTTTGATGGTGATTACTTTCCTTTTTAGAGTAATCAAATTTTTTTAATTGGTTGCAACAGTTCCCAACCACATTGGGTTTGCTCAGCTATTGTGGACAATGGCAGCACCCATTTTTCATGCAAAAATCAGGGCAAGCTCAAGTATTACTAATTTTTCTACTGCCCTTCCCTAATGCCTTACATTCTATTTCTAGGGCTTAATCCATATTTTTGGCCTATTCAATTTTGGTTTGTTAAAAATTAAAGTCAAAAAAGTACACAGAATTCACATTTTTGCACAGCAGTACAGAAAAATCAATGGCATTCTTGTTTTTAAATCTAATTCACATATCTTTGCTGTAAACACAACTGAAGTATTCATTCAATGGCTTTAGTCTGTTAAAAAAAACCAGTTAATGATTACTTTCACCCAAAACAAATTAAAGACTAAAAGCTAGTCTCAAATTGGTCAATAGATTCAACCATGAGTTGGAACTTTTACTTTAAAACTTTGTCTCCATAGGAGAAAGAAAGCGGAGCCTCTACTGGGCCCCTCCTTTCTTTCCCTCAATGGGGTATCAAAGGGAGTGAGCCGCTATTACTGTGGATACAACTGCCCGAGGATAAAGACAAACAGGAGCTGGCCTGACTGTGACAGCAACGTGGGGGTGTTCTAAGAGCTAAACCTAGTTCATGGATGCAACAGATGCACGTGTTACCACTTTTTCTGGGATGATACCAGAAACCTAACTATAACCCTTCCTGACTCTCCTTCAACAACAAGCTATAGAAGAAATATGATCCCATCTTCCCCAAGGAAAGGAATGCTAGACCACGACAGGACTGAAGAATAACCACAGGGAAACTGGTGTCCATTCTAACTCTTCTATAATCTCCACAAACGCCTCCTTTTCAAAAATGCCATGTGTTATAAAAACCTCTACAAGGAAATTTATACTTAAAGGTTACTGAGGTACAGAACATGGGCGCCTGTAATATAAACAGGAAACAGAATTTAAACAAGTAGTGCTAGCTTCATACAAATAGAGTATGTAATCTTATCTGTACTTAAAAGATAAAGTGGGCCACACACAGCTGCTTTTCTATTGAAAAGTGCTGCCTCACATGACCATGTCTATGAACCACAGCTTCTAAAACTGCCCAAAGACTTACTTTTGACACCTATCACCGCTGATGAGGCGGCCTGCTCTCTTGATGTTACAGATGTAGATACACATACAATTTTGGTGAGACGTGACCTATCTGTGCCTTTCATACTGACCCCGTTTCCTGCCCCAAACAGTTATGATGATTTGAAAATCAATCCAGTTTCTTTTTTCATTCCTACACTCACTCTCAGGTTACTAAGAAAGCTTACAGGAACTAATGAAGTTTCTTCCTTCTCATCTCTGCTGCTGTACACACTGGAGGTGTGGTTGGGGATAAGCTCTGAGGGCCCAGCTGTTTCCTTCAGGTGCTGCAGGTAGTCATAGTCATCATCAAAGAACACTCCATACTTTCTCTGCTCCGCTAGCCTTTCTTCATCATTTATCTTGGTTAACAAAGAAAACAGAGTTAGGAACCCTTCCACAAATAAGGCCCAAGAATCTTAAAGTGACCACAACATTCACCATAAAAGGCAGATGACACATGAGAGTAATGAGACAAAGAATCTTGACAAAATCAGGAAATTGAGAGCTTCTAAACCAGAGTGCTACAAAAAATTAAACTGAATGAAAACAAGCCAGATATAGTGGCAGATGCCCAAAGTCCAGCTACTTGGGAAATTTGAGATGGATCATTTGAATCCTCAAGTTTGAGACCAAACTGGGCAACATAGTGAGACTTCACCTCAAAAAGGTTTTCCTTTCAGGAACAAATGTTTAATTCCTTGTACTAGATAACTAATTCCTTGTACTACTAACAGAAGACTCGAGGGGTTTAAAGTAAGTATGCTCTTGTATTTATATGCAAAGACAATTCAATGTACAAAAAAAACTAGCTTTACTGAAAAAGTAAATATGATGTCTCCCATCACTTTCATTTATATTGTCCACTTTTAACAAGTAAATCAACCTTTCCAAGGTTTGGTGGCATGTTCTAAAGCCAATCCAGAAGCTTGGACATTTTATATTTCATGAGATGAGTAACTAGGAGACACATATGCAGTCTATGAAGAGATTATGAGATGGCAGGTTTTAGGGAAAGCTGAGATTGAGCATATGGTCATGGCCTAAGTAACACCATGCAACACTGGAGTCAGTGGTTTAGTGAATATTTACCATTATTCTACAAGATCTGTTCATTTTAAAAGTCTCATGTAAAGATGCTTTATCCTCCCAATAAAAAAAAAACGTGCCCAATGTAAATCAGCACAATGTACTGAAAACTGGGTCATAGATCATTCAGCATACCAGTTGCTGGGGAATAATATCTGGCTAACAATTTACAACTACTACTAAATTTAACTAAAAACTTAGCTAAAAGCTATTAATAAAGGGCTGGGGGTGGGTGGAGTACTCACCCTGATCTCATGAACTGTGGTCTGATCCTGAGCACCACAAGATCAACAAAAAAGCAAAATAAAACAAAAGCCCTACAAAGAGTCCACCTGCAAAGATAAGGGCTAAAGAACGGGACTTACTTTCTGGGTAGGCAACAGAACCCTCTGGGGCGCAGTTTCATCGGCTGCTAAAGGATCTCGCTGGCTCCGGTGGACCAAATGAAAAGACACAGCTTTCTTCTTCTCTATAAATGGCTTTTTCTTCCTATGAGGCTTTAAAAGAAGAGAACCAGAACAAGTCATTAAAACATAAAAATTCTCTGGATAATACCACAGTTCTCACATGCACCTTCAAGTGAAGAGCCAACGGATTTTTCAAATGTACACTTCTGGGAAAGACTACAGAAGTTGTGCTGCAGAGAAACCCATACTTGCCTTCTTTCAACAAACCTAAGTTTGGCACCTACGCTGTGTCAGACCTTGTTATGAGAGCTGGTGATACAGCAGTGAGAAAAGCCTTGTTCTCAGCAAGCAAATCAGCACGTAACTTCAGGTTAAGGAAATTAAACACGGTGATGTACAAATGATTCTGGCTGCTCTGGGAAGGTTCCCGATAGGAACCAGAAGGACAAGGAGCCCGTCCCGAGGGATTCTGGAGTAGACAGTTCCAGAGTGAACCCTTGGTCTACCAACCAGTACATAAAGCCCGGAGATGATTATTCTCCGTCCGTATTCTTATTTCGCTACTCAACTTTGATGAAGTGGTCTCACTGTAGGCCCGACCTTATTCTCGCACAAGTTCTCTTTTTCCCACAACCAACAGGCAGCCAAGTGCGACTCCAACGATAGGAGTGACCAGCAACCGTCTGTTCCGGGAGCGTTTGTGTCGGAGACACGGGCTGTGGTTCACTGAAGCCGTGCAGAGCCGCAGACCCCTAGGAATAAAGGGGAGGCCATCTCTTCAGGCCCCTTCCCCTACCAGTACCCGGGGAGATGAGGTTACTGGGGCATGAGCCAGCCGCACGAAGCAGTAGCCGCTGGCATTACCGGAACCTGCCCCGCCGCAGAGACAACCTACGCCTGCTCACCATGCTGCTGCCGTGCGGCGCTCTCCCCCGCGAGGAGCGGCCAGTCACCCTACTAGTCTTGGGATCCCCCGCCGCAGTTGCAGGATTCCCTACACGTGCGACCACAAGTTCCGGGCTTTAGGTAACGCAGTAGCCGTGAAAATGGACCAATCCCCGAAGAGCAGCCGAGTCGATCCGGAAGTTACGTCAGCACGCTGGTCTCAAAGAACGCGAGAACCACTGGGAGGCGGGACTAACTCGGTTCCCACCTCACGGCGGGTGGTGCTGTCGGGGCCAATTTTTGCTATCCAGGAAGGGACTCGTTGGGGCCATAAAAACCGTTCGCGGCTTCCTTTTATAGCGTGCTTTCCCGAAATCGGGGCCAAATCGAATATCTCTATTTACTGATATTCCTTACCTATTCTCAACTGTAAGCGAGCAAACAGAAATCCCTGTGCAGGTACTCAGACGGGAAGCGGTCATTCTTCGGGTCTACACTTCTGGTTCTCTTAGAGACCAGGGCTCAGTCAGTTGCCCAGCAACGGAGACGGGGCGGGGCCTTGCTGCTGTAGGCAGCGCCAGATTTAATCAGTCTTCACTTTCCACCCTTTAAAAAACTAATTTCGTGTCCATTAACAGCAACAACAACAACAAAATCCCCAAACTGCTGATTGTAGACGCATTTGGAGTAATAAGATATATTCAGAATCTCTTTTACTTTTACTTTGCCTCCTGAAGGCAGTCACCCAATACATTTTTCAACTTCTAAATAGCCAAATGTATCACTGCATTACGCATTATTATATTTGTCATTTTTAACACTACCAAGTCACTTTCCTGTATAATGTCTATTCTCTGGCTTTAGGATAAAGTTAAACTTTTTTTTTTTTTTTTTTTTTT